CCAAATAATTATAGATTAGCACTTTCACGTTTTCGTAGCTTAGAAAAGAAAATGAAAAGTGATGATCAATACGCGCAGTTATATCGTGTGAATGTACAAACTATGATAGACAAGGGCTATGTTGAGGAATGTCACAAGTCACCAATAGGTATTTCCTGGTATCTTCCGCATTTTGGGGTGACACATCCGCATAAACCAGGAAAATTACGCATTGTTCATGATGCTGCTGCTAAATTCCAAGGGGTCAGCTTAAATTCTTTATTATTACCCGGTCCTGATCTCTTACAGCCCCTTCTTGGTATACTCATGAGATTTAGGGAAGGCCCTATTGCTTTAACAGCCGATATTCGAGAGATGTTTCCGCAGGTTAAGATAAGGGAGCAGGACCGAGACGCTCAAAGATTTTTATGGCGCGATTATCACACGCAGGACATTAAAATATATCGCATGTCTTCAATGATGTTCGGTGCTTGTTCGAGTCCATGTACCGCGTTGTATGTTAAAAAAGTAAATGCTGATGAATTCCAAGGAGAATTCCCGGAAGCAGCACATGCCTCTGTATTTGATACATACATGGATGGCTATATAGGATCGCAGGACAACATTGAGAAAGCAGCTCGTTTAGCTGCAGATATTGTAGAGCTGAATAAGCGAGCTGGTTTTGAGATGCGCGGTTGGGTATCCAACAATCCTGATGCCCTATCACTTTTATCAAAAGACTTGGTTTCTACTTGTATCAAAAGTAGAAACGAGTCCATAGATTTAGGTAATTCGAACAACGACGTAAATGTTCGGACTCTAGGTCTTATTTGGCAGCCTAATATTGATACAATTTCGTTTAGTATTGGGTTCGAAAATGATAAATTGCCACATCAGATTACTAAACGTGATGCGCTTTCTTATGTAATGCGTATTTATGATCCTCTTGGTATTTTAGGACCTATAGTTTCCAGAGGGCGTATCATGTTTCAGAATATATGGCGTAAACGCCTCACATGGGACGACGAGTTACCTCAAACCGACCTGAAGATTTGGCATGATTGGTTTCAGGATCTAAAATTGGTATCTAATCTCAAGATATCACGCTATTACGGTTTGAGTGAACCCGATGTATCCAAACGCGAGCTTCACATCTTCTGTGATGCTAGCGAAATGGCTTATGCAGCAGTTGCATATTGGCGGATGATTTTTACAAACGGAGATGTGAAGGTCGTTCTCATTTCCAGTAAGTGTAGAGTAGCCCCATTAAAGCCGACCTCCATCCCCCGTTTAGAACTCCAGGGAGCGTTAGTCGCTGCTCGTCTAGCGTCATTCATAGTCGAATCTCATAACCATAAACCAACAAAACGATTCTTTTGGACTGATTCGTTAAACGTGCTAGGGTGGCTCCGGAGTGATGCGCGTACCTATAAGCCATTTGTAGCTCATCGTTTGGGTGAGATACTCGAACTCACACTAGTCAATGAATGGCGATGGGTTCCAACGCATAGTAACGTGGCTGATGATGCTACGCGTGTTAATCGTATTATTTTAACACAGTCGTCTCGTTGGCTTGTAGGTCCCAATTTTCTGTATGACAGTGAGTCTAGTTGGCCATCCTCTCCACCAGTATCTATGGCTGGTAGCTTGGACAAAAATGACGTAGAACTTAAACCGTCTACTCGTCATCACTCATGTGTTGTTAATCTCATTACGTCACAGCCATCTCCCATGCCTCTTGTAGTTAGCTGTGACAGACTAAGCTCCTGGTTGAGATTATTAAGAGCAACGGCAAGAGCTCATAAATTCATTACCTTGCTGCGTCGGAAAGGCACTTCTGATATTACGGCTGAAGATTTGTCTGTTGCTGAAACACATTTACTGCGACATAGCCAGTTAGAAACGTTTGCGGAAGAACTTATACTCTTGAAAAATGGTCAACCTCTACCACGGAAGAGCAAATTGTTCACTCTTTCCCCGGTTATCGATGATCAGCGAGTCATCCGTTTAAAAGGCAGGATTGATCGTGCAATAGACGTCGAAGATCACGTGAAGCGCCCTATTATCTTGGATGCTCGTCATCGGACTGTGCGTCTACTTATTGCCTATTATCACGAAAAGGCAGCTCATGGCAATACAGAGTTGGTAGTGAATGAACTCAGACAGTTTTATTGGATCATTCACCTTCGAAGCGCTGTTCGATCTGTTGCTTACAATTGCAGAGTCTGCAAGATAAGACGTGCTACACCGTATCAGCCTCCTATGGGAGACTTACCCGCTGCCCGTGTAGCTCATCACAAGAGACCCTTCAGTTTTACTGGTCTTGACTATTTTGGACCTCTTCAAGTTGCTGTTGGCCGACGTCGTGAAAAGCGGTATGTCGCTCTTTTTACATGTTTGGTAACTAGAGCAGTTCACCTAGAATTGGTACATAGTTTGAGTACCGATGCCGCTATTATGAGTTTACGCAGATTTATTGGTAGACGTGGGGTTCCTACAGAAATCTGGTCGGACAATGGGACGGCATTCGTCGGTGCCAATCATTTATTGAAATCTTTGTATGGAGCTGAAATGGAACTGTTTGCTGCAAATGAGCGTATTTCTTGGAAATTCATCCCACCATCTGCTCCTTTTATGGGCGGTTCATGGGAGAGATTAGTGAGGTCAGTGAAAACCGCCATGCAAGTCACTTTGAAAGAGCGTACACCCAGTGACGAGATTTTGTTAACTCTTCTTATAGAGGCAGAAGCGCTCATAAATTCCAGACCTCTCACTCACGTGCCCTCTGACCCTGATCAGAGTGAAGCTTTGACTCCTTTCCATTTTATACTTGGAACTTCGTCAGGAAAACCAATACCTGCACGTCTAGAAGACCGAGACCTCTGTAGTAGAGCAGGATGGCAAAGGGCCCTACGCCTCGCAGATCATTTCTGGTCCAGGTGGGTTAAAGAATATCTGCCAACACTATTGCCTAGACGAGGGCAGGGTATTGCGCCAAGAGTGAATGTGGGGGACCTGGTGCTAGTTGTAGATGATCAACAACCGCGTGGAACGTGGCTAAGAGGTGTAATCACTGCAATTTATCGAGGACAAGATAGCATTGCTCGAATAGCCGAAGTACGGACGCCTATCGGCTTATTTAGACGTCCAATGAGGAAGTTAGTGCCCCTGCCTACGTAAAAAAAGGGGAGTGTTACAAACTCCTTTGTAATTTGTAATTTCTAATATTGTATTCTTTTAATTATTCATTTTTTTATAAACTGTCAGTATAACTTTTCAACACGAACCGGCGTTTTCTTTCTAACAATCAGTTCACAATAATATACATACAAATATATATATATATATTTGTATGTATATAATGGTCATATTACAGTGGAATATTTAACATAATGTTTATGTATTATATGTGTATTTCTTATGTATTTTTTACCACATCTGCCCTTCATACGCTTTCTGTTTGTACCTAATGGTTAGCTGATAGAGAATGCAATATGATATTAAGCTCGCCACTTGTACAAAGTTTTATTGTGCAATAAAACAATAAATAAATAAATCAATCATACAGTATAAACTATCTTTATTGTTGTTTTTCCAATCGAGAGTTCACGAGATGCAACCGTACTAGCTTTCACTAATTTCGTAGGGCATTTAGTGGGCATGCCATTATAAAAAACTTTCACACCGCTGCCCTACACTGGTGGGTACTCGAATAGAAAAACGCATTTCGAATGGGAATTCTATCACAGTGAAAAGGTTTTTTGTTTGTTTTCAAACGTTCTTTATTTATCATAAGTGATTACAAATATAATAAATTCTAGTGTACGTAAGCCTAGAATTTACAATCAGCCATAAATCGTTTGGCGAGTAATATACACTCCTTCAAACATTTAAAATAGAAATACAAGTATCTATAATTCTACACAACATAAAAAATTTACATTACATGATGTAACTTATTAATTATAATCATAAAATAAACACAAAATGCATATATTTGTAAATTATGCATTATAACAAAAATCGTACAATTATTTTGGGAGGGTAGTTTGTACCCAAATAGTACCAAGTTGGTAACATACATATTAGTTATTACTATTAGCGAGCGGCAGGTATCAGCAATCATGACTGTCGAGAGCTGTGCGAACAATAGAAATATAAATGGTGCGTGCCATCTTAATCCTTACTTCAGTATGCAAAGTATTTAGTATGCACGGTGAAAAGGTGAAATTAGAATAGATAGATGCTAAAGGTACAATTACTTACATAGTGAGTGAATATTTATATATATTTTTTTTTTCATATTACCGCTGAACATAGGCTTCCTGTTATTGGGGAAATTTGGCAGCAGTTACCACGGTTGGCAAGCGAATTGGTAACTGCAGTTAGGCTTGGCGATGTTTTAAGAGCGACACTTTAGATAAAGTTTTGTTTGAGAAATCAGTTCAGCGTACAATAGGACTAATATACCCGAAGAAGGTAAAACCCCTAAAATAATATTAAATAATATTTAAAAAAAAAAGTGACACTTCCACCTTTCCCTTGATCTTTACTCGCCTATTACGACACCCACAGGAAAGGGGTAGCCCATTCTATGCCGGGACCATACAATAGAATGTTAGAAGCGTAGAATCTACCAAAACTGTACTTTTACTAACAATACAATTGTTTAATAAATCATTAAATCACTATAATATTTACCAGAGGGAGACTTTGTACAAAAGTCGATTGCTTGGGTACCTCGGTCCCATTGATATTTCAACCGTAAAGCAGTTGTGTTTGCATGGCTGTGTTTCGGTTTGAAGGGTGGGATATGGCGTGAATTTGCAGGGTACAGAGGAATCACACCTGAGTCCTCAGGAATGGCAACGCATGGGGGTATCAGGGGCGAAACAGTATACTCTGTTATGTCCATGGTACTGCTCATGTCTATAGGCGACGGTTACCACTTACCATCAGGTGAGCTATCAGATTGTTTGCCATTCTAAGTTGTATAAAAAAAAAAAAACTTGTCAACTTACCTTTTATCATATCCCGCAGCTCCTGGAGCGATTCTGATCTTGTGGCTATATTCTCATTGCATAACTCCGCAGCCAGGTCTAAGAACTCCTCATTCTCTTCAGTATTCAACACTTCGGCTTCAAATGCTATTTCGAGGAAGCTCTCGAACATTATGCCAGCCTGGTAGATTCTGTTGAAATGTTAAAGAGAAAGAAATATAAAAAAATTGACAATGCAGAAAAACATAGTATAAAAAATACATATGTTTGGGGCAAATAGTATATAATTTTTTTTTGTATGTTTGACATATAGAATGTAAAATTTTATCTATTGATGAAATTTATGCATTGTTGGTGAAGACGATCCCTTTGGCACATTTTTTTTTTATTATTTCAGCCGATAACTGTCCACTGCTGAACATAAGCTGTGTATTTTTCATATATTTTTAATTTGAAAAGATGCTTTTTTAATTATACAGCACTATCATACCTACTTGTACTACAATCAGTCCATTACCTTAAGGTTGTCTTGAAAAGATTGCTCTCAGCAATAAGACCGCCTTACTGTACTTATACAATTGTATCGTTGTGTTTGTAAATTGTCTTATTTATTTCCTATATTGTATAATGCAAATAAAGTATACTCATTCATTCATTCATTCATAAGCCTTCATTATAAGGAGAGTTTTGCCAATAGTTGCAACGCTTGGCAGGCGGGTTGGCAACCGCAGTTAGGTTTTTGAGATGTTTTAAGAGGGACGCTGCTGCCCATCCCTTAGTCGCCTCTTACGACGCCCACAGAAAAGGAAGGGGTAGCCCATTCTATGCCGGGACCGACACGGCGAACAAATTATTGTAATAAATATTAATAAGTACGTTATTACTAACAATGATTGTATCATTATTATTACAAAAAAAAAAAAGAAATACGCAACGATATAACACGCAACTTCTCAATTGCGTAGGCGGCGTTACCATTCCATTTTCGTCCATTAAAAAATACCATGTAATTTTCAACATGAGAATAATCGAAATTGCTAGAATCTACCATTCATTAACGAGGGAGAAAGCATTTTTTTATTACAAGACTTTTTTATTTTTAGATTTTTTATTTTAAGACAATTGCTGGTATAATTGGCTGTCCCATCCTAAAATATTGGATGGGACAGATTATCAATGCAAGAGAGACATGACCGCTCATTTACTAACATAGGTTAAGTAAATGAGGTTTGTGCGAAAGAGGTTTGTTTGAATCGAAGCATTTGGCGTTCCATTGTTTCTGCCTACCCTAATGGGAGACAGGCGTGACAGATATGTATGTATGTATGTATGTTAAGTAAATCTGTAACTAGCAAAATGGGCTTTATGTTGTCTGACTAAATAAATATTATTGTATTGTATTGTAAAGTCTTTATTGCACATAATTCATATTGAGCACTGATAAATGATTTAATATACAATGGCGGACTTATCCCATAAAGGGATCTCTTACAGTCAATTCAATTCGCGAAATTTGAATTTTTACACAAATTCTCATCTCCCTTTTTAAGGAGAGGAGATGGCAACTAACCCCGGCAGAAGCACAGTCGGCCGGGGTTCAGGGCCCCAGGGAGAGAAACCGGCGTACAATGCGGGCAGAATCTAAGAGCACCGCTTTCTGCATCTCTCCCGGAAGTGAGCCGCCTCGGAATACCAACCGTCCGAGATGTTGTTCCAGACTGGTTGGGATAAGACCGTTCACCGACAAAACGATTGGAATGATTTCGGTGGACGTCACCCCCCACCACCCCCACATTTCGGTCACCTCGTGAGCCAGGTCGAGATATTTTATTAATTATTACTATATTTAAATTTTAAACACGAATGTGATAATAAAAATATTAAACGAACGAAGGTACCTGTTTAAATTATTTTAACTAAACTCAAAGTGTTAACAATGTCGGTGATTTAAATTATGCACATAATATTTATTATTACTTGTAATGCTATCGCGTGCGATCAAATTGGATCAAATTAAAATTAGATATATAGGTAAGTAGTGTATTACGTGTAGATTGTAAATGATTTCAATGATACAATTTTGAATTGTAAACAAAAATTTGTTGATCATCACTATTAGATTAAAAGTGTATAGTTTTACCAGAGACTATGTACAAAAGTCGTTTGCTTGGATACCTCTGTTCCATTCGTGTTTCTACCGTGAAGTAGCTGTGTTTGCATTTGTTTCGGTTTGAAGGGTGGGATGTGGCAATGAATTTACAAGGTACAGAGGAATAACAGTTGAGTTCTCAGGAATGGCAACACATGAGGGGTATCATGGGCGAAACAGTATACTATATTATGTTCATAGTGCTGCTCATTTCTATAGGCGACGGTTACCACTTTCCTTCAGGTGGGTCGAAGTTGCGTAAAAAAAAGTTGTCATCTATTATATATATTTTTAATTTTTTATTTATTCATTAAAATAACTTTATTGACCAATATAAAATATGGTATAAAAGGCGGACTTAATGCTAGTAGCATTCTCTATCAGTCAGCCTTAGGGATAAACAGTGAATCACGAACGCGGTACTTCACTATTCCCCAATAGTTTTTAAATTTCAAATTTCGAAACAAATCTATTTCGATATAAACATAATTTCTGTTCAGTTCTATCGAGTGAAAGCCTTGTATGGATTGCTGGCAAATTTGAGTGGTAAACCCTTTATATCGGATGTCGTTTTAAAAATTTAAATAAGTAAGTGTTAAGTCAACGCTACGCAAAGTCAAACAACAAAGGGCGACAAAGGTACATAAACCGTAACAAGGTAAAATTAAGGTGTAAAATTGATGTAATCCATTCAGCTACTTTTGTCGCCGTTAACTGGTCCATTAACAGTTTCATTGTACAAGCCGGTCTATAGCCAGTAGACCAGAACGACCGACAATAAAGTATGAGCAAAAGTAATTTGTTTGGGTACCTCTGTCCCATTCGTGTTTCTACCGTGAAGCAATTGTGTGTGTTTTTTTTTAATGGATGAAAATGGTATGGTAGCCCCGCCTGCGCTAACGGGATACGCTGGCGGAGCACCAGTGAAGGGTGATAGATGAGAATGAAAACAGGCCAGTTAGCCCATCATGATGAATTCATCAGGAATTAACCATGATAGTTTCCAGGGGGAACCGCGAGAAGGTCGACCTGATTGGGTATATTGCTAGCAATGGGATTCTCAGTCTCCATTACTAACAATCCCTTGACCCCCGAAGCAATTGTGTTTGCATGGATGTGTTTCGGTTTGAAGGGTGGAATATGGAAGTGACTTTACAGGATATAGAGGTATAACACCTGAGTCTGGAGGAAAAGTATTGTTAGTAATGGGATCTAACTGATACACCCTATCAAGTCGACCTCCACGCGGTTCCCTCTGGAAACCGTCATGAATAATTCTAGTGAAATTCATCACGACAGGCTAACTGACCTATCTTTTCATTTTCACCTATCATCCTTCACTGAACCCCGCCAGTGTATACCGTTAGCGTAAACAGGGTTACCATTCCATTATCCATTATCCATTTAGAAAACACCCGAGTCTTCAGGAATAGCAATGCATTGGAGGTATCATGTGCGAAACAATATACTCTGTTATGTCCACGGTACTGCTCATGTCTATAAGCGACGGTTGCTACTTTCCATCAGGTGGGCCGTCAAATTGTTTGCCATTCTAAGTTGCATAAAAAAAGGTTTTGTTACCTAAAACTCTATCTATTGTTGTTGGATCTTTACGCGAATGATGGCAACCCATTTGTCTGCGATAGCTCTCTAGTAAACTTGAAATTCACACGATTATGTGTTCATCTTTTGTGTTTATTTTCTGACTGCGGTATTGTATACCTATTACAATGATAATAATATAATTTATTTGCTGAAAAACACGGTATACAGATGGTAGTAATAATATGTTAGAAACAGGCGCGTTTTGCCAAATCAATGGCGTGCAAAATTTTAATATTTAAAGTAACTTCTTTTCAAATACTATTAACAGAATATTATTTATGTGCTTATAAAGTAGAATTATTCTTTTGTCCAAATATTACGTTAAGAACGCTTGATGCCGTAACCTAAAGTTGACACAAGTTTAAAATACTAATGACCATACTTTGAGCAGTGTCGACAACCTCCGCCTCAATTCCCGCTCATTCTTCTTTCTTTTATTCTAATTCCTTTACTGTCCAGGCAGTTCACCTGTAGAACTCACTACCTGTATCTATTTGGCGCGTGAGAATTTTGCAAATAGTTGCCTCGCCTGGCAGGCGGATTGGCAACCGCAATCACACTTTAGAGGTGTTTTAGAACGCTGTTGCCCATCCGTCATCGTCCCTTTGTTGCTTTTTCCGACACCCACAGGAATGGAAGGGGTGGCCTATTCTATGCCGGGATCACATGGCCACATATATTAATAACATTTGTAAATTATGTAAATATTTATTATTGTTGTTCAGATTTCTGTTTTGCACTACTTCTGCCCATTCAGTACTTCCTATGTCACTATACTAGGTTGAAAATACTAAAATTGACAATGATACTAATAAAATTATATAAAAATATGTACAACTACATTAAATTGCATTAAATGATATAATTGCAGTAAGTGCTTTATATTATTCCCAAATTCGTGTATAATATAGTACATATCATATATGTGTAAGTATATTTGTTATTCATATATATTTATTCGTTTATATATGTAATTTTAGTATGTATGTATATCAATAATTAGTAGTACCGCATTCGAGTATTCTGACACTTCCCTATGGTTGACTGGGAGAGAATGCTTTTAGCATTAAGTCCGCCATGTACACATATTTGTACTAATGAATAAATAAATAAATAAATATATTAATTAAAATAAAACATATGGAAACAAAAATTTTAATTAGGAATTTAATAACATTGATGAAATTGAATTATTTAATTATTGAAATTTTTATGAAAATTTAAGGACCGACGCACTCCTCGCTTCTAATTGCTGCGCCCTACAGGGTCTACAATGTACTGTATCAATTACTAACATCTTTTATAATAATATTGTAGAATGCAATAAATAAATTGAATTGAGTTGAATTGACTGGAAGAGATTTTTTTTTACAACGCAGGGGGCAATCGAGCACGCGGCTCACCTGATGGTAAGTGACTACCGCCGCCCATGATCAC